TTTTTTTTTTTAATATATTCTTTTTAATGTTTATTTTCTTTTGAGAGAGAGTGAGAGACAGAGGTACGAGCAGGGGAGGGATGGAGAGAGAGGGAGACAGAATCCGAAGCAGGCTCCAGGCTCTGAGCCGTCAGCACAGAGCCTGACACGGGGCTCGAACGCAGATGGCGAGATCATGGCCTGAGCCAAAGTTGGCCGCTCAACAGACTGAGCCCCCCAGGCGCCCCGAGAAAGAGAGAACCTGAAGCAGGCTCCAAGCCCAGTACGGAGCTCACCTTGGGGCTCCATCTCACCACAAGATCATGACCTGAGATGAAATCAAGAGTCAGATGTTTAAGTGACTGAGCCACCCAGGCGCCTCTAGTCACCTTTTCTAAACTCTATGCTTCTTGGTTTGATCAAGTCTTCCCTACCACAAAATTAAAATACTCAAGTTGTTGTTGTTGTTGTTTTAGCGGCTTTTATAATTTTTACATTTTAATCCTTCATTTCTCTGGGGTTTGTTTTGGTGTAATGAAAGCAATCCAAGCTTCAGGATTCCTCTTCTAAATTGCTTCCCAAATGCTCCAAAACAACTCATTGACAGTCCACCTTTTCCTCAATGATATAAATGCCAGACTAGACACAGAAAATTAATAATCAGGATATTCAATACTTAATACTAAAATCTAAAGGTTTTCTTCTGACATTTTAAAATTAAGCAAGGATATTTTAAAAAGACAAAAACTAGGTTTAGGAAAAAAGACAGTGGGAAATACGCTAAAGTGTTTAAAGGAGACTGTCTCTGATAGTAGCACTGTGAACACTTGAAGAAACATTCTATTCCCAAATCTCTAATGAGCATATTTTGTCGGCAGCAAAACCGAAATTTCACATGAGAAGAAAAGGAACAATTTTGAAATTAATCACTATGAAAAATATCAATACTCAGCAATCACAAAGAATGAAATCTTGCCATCTGCAACTACGTGGATGGAACCAGAGGGTATTACGCTAAGTGAAATTAGTCAGAGAAAGACAGATATCCTATGACTTCACTCGTATGAAGACTTTAAGAGACAAAACAGATGAACATAAGGAAAGGGAAACAAAAATAATTTCAAACCAGGGAGGGGGACAAAACAGAAGAGACTCTTAAATATACAGAACAAACAGAGGGTTACTGGAGGGGGGGGTGGGGTAAATGGGTCAGGGGCGCTAAGGAATCTACTCCTGAAATCATTGTTGGCACTATATGTTAACTAACTTGGGTGTAAATTAAAAAGAGAAAAGAAAAATATCAAAAAATAAAACTGCTGTATAAAACCTTTCCTATTACATAATCTTAACCATTCACCAGTCAACCACATGCCCTGCTCCGCACTCCACTGCAGAGCCTGACAATATCAATTCTGAAATCTACATCAAGACAATCCTAAGCAAAATTTTCTCAAGCATATTGAATTTTTAGTCTGAAAGATCATTTCAGTGTTTGGGTGTTATGGGCTTCTGAGGGGAAATTTTGGCAATAAAAACAGCAAAAATGAAAATTTAGCAGAATTAAAAATGGGTACTCAGGGGCGGCTGGGTGGCTCAGTCAGTTAAGTGTCCAACTCTGAACTTTGGCTCAGGTCACGATCTCACGCTTCTCAAGTTTGAGCCCCATATTGGGCTCTGTGCTGGCAGCACGGAGCCTGCTTGGAATTTCTCTGTCCCTTTCTCTCTGCCCCTCCCAGACTTGCTCTCTTTCTCAAAAAATAAACAAACACAAAAGTTTTAAAAAAAAAAAAGCGTACTCAGAATAAACAGAATATCCAAGAACATCATAATGGAACAAACTGCTTTTCTTCGTCTTTTGCCACCCCACCAAACAGAAGAGGTAAAAGGGCAACAGGGGTTGAGTATGTTCGCATAGGCTGTCTGTGCTCAAATCTGAACAGAATCTAAAACAAAATGTATCATAAAACTCACTCATCCTTTGCATTTTTAAAAAAATTTTTTTTCATGTTTATTCATTTTTTTTCACAGAGAGGGAGACAGAGCATGAGCAGGGGAAGGGCAGAGAGAGAGGGAGACACAGAATCTAAAGCAGGATCCAGGACCCAAGCTGTCAGCACAAAGTTTGACATGGGGCTTGAACTCACGAACCATGAGATTAGGATCTTGAGCCAAAGCTGGGCACTTAACCGACTGAGCCATCCAGGCGCCTCTTCTTTGCGTTTTTATTTTTATTTTTAGAAAGAGGTGGGGGGGGGGTAGCGAGATGGACGCTCGAGGCACCTGGGTGGCTCGGTCGGTTGAATGTCCGACTCTTGATTTCCACTCAGGTCATGATTCCAGGGGTTGTGGTATCGAGCCCTGCGTCGGCTCCAGGCGGAATGTGGAGCCTACTTAAGACTGTCTCTTTCTCTATCCCTCCCCTACTCACACTCATGGTCTAAGATAAAAAATAGTAATAAAATAAAAATAAAAAATTATAAAAAATCACACTGAAGAGAAGTACAGGAGACAACAAAAGACAGAGAGCCAGAAATAAAATAGCGTACTAGAATTTCATAATTTTGTTTTACCTGTTTTCATGAATCCTGGATGCTCAGCAATGTTTGAACTATTTAACAGCTTCACAGCTTTTCGATAATTGCCTCTTAAGTACTCAAAATTGCTTTTAAGAAACAGAGAGGGGGCAGACTGTAAAGAAAATATAAACTGTTTATACTCTGTCTTCACATGTGTAATGTGAGGTCACAATTCTACCACTATACTGGTATGTATTCAAGAGCGTAATTTAAGTCATGCTCACAAAAAACTATAGCTCCAAAACTTTCCATTGCTCTCACAACCCCAAAAAAGAAACCTATCAGAAAGCACCTCATACACTCAATTCAGAGTCTGCCTTAAAAAATCCATACACCATATATGTATATGTATTACACCACTAACTGGAAGCCAACTTAACAGCACTAACTAGGCCTTTCGTTTCAATGACTATTACAGAGACCGACGGTCTCCCTTATTTTTTAGGATACAAATAATCAAATGCTTTTCCAAAGAGGGATCTAAAAAAGTGTCATTCTGTGGATGGAGGAACCGCCTATTTTCGAGAGTGAGCCTGGCCGTGGCAAAGATCACGTTTTGGGAGGCACGCGGAGCCTCACTTCTCTGGAAGCCCCCGGGGTGGCGGGCGCACAAGCATGCCCACATCTGCAGAGCGCACGCGCAGCCAGGAGGACCTCAGGCATCCCGGCCTCCTCACGCCTCACTCTAGCTTAGCTGCAGGCTTTCCAAGTCCTTGCTCACACTCTGCTGCCTCCTGGTCGCCGAGGAAACAAGGGCTCCCAGGCTCGTTCCTGATTTAGGTATTACTGCTAGTCTGCAGTGTCACTGCTTCTCTTCTCGTTTCTCTCTCCCCTAGGACTATGGCATCCATTAAGGCAGAAATCATGCCTTTTACCTCAGAACAGGTTTGGTAACGGTTGGCCGGCTAGTTAGGCCTTCCCCCCTCAGCCTCCAGGCTACGCCTCAGACCTGGGCTACCATTTGTTCTCCTCAAAAATCACCTGAGCAGTGACCCGGTGACTAATCTGGGTCCTGCCTGGGATTTCTAGGGTCAATTTACCTGAAGTATTCCTACTACAAACCGTATCTCCTTATGACTTCATACTGAAAATTAACACCATTCCTGAAAGCATCGAGAATGCGTACAGTTCTGTTTTTTCCCTCCATAGTCCAAAAAAATCACGTGTCAGTGGAGCGGACGGAAGGAGCACTGTGTCTCAAGTACTCTGGCATTAGTCAAAGTGAAGGTCAAGCCAAAGACCGTTTGGAAGGGGCAGGTTTGGGCTACAACCGAACCGTTCATCTTTAGTAAGTGGTTTGAGTGTAAACTAAAAAAACCCTGAGGTATCTAATAGTAAATGTTTGCGTGAATTATGATAAACAACTCCCAGAATGCTAGACAGCTATTTAAAATGGTGGTTCTGAGGGTTGCATACGAACGGAAAATGCAAGCTGCAATTTTACATGAGAAAAGCACCGTATTAAATTAGAGACAAGGTATGATCACTACTGCACAACTCCATGTCAAGGTTCTTATCTACTCGTAGATATACACTATATTAAGACTAAAATAAATTACTTACAACTGGCGAATTAAAGAAAAAAGAAAAAAGAAAGAAAAGTCAAGAAGAAACTTACATTTCCAGCTGTGTTCATGACCGACTTGATTTCCCTTTTGCACGCTTTCAGGGACTTCATTTGGATATAAGCTCGTACTTTATACTATTAAAAGAAAACGCTAGTATGTAAGAACAAGGGTAGATTTACACAGGGTGACGCAGCTTTACTTTCTAGGTAAGGAAATTCAACCCAACCTGTTTACAACATAGTTACGCCAGTTACTTGCAAAAGCAAATTTTAAATGATCTTAAACAATCTATTTTCACTGCACTCTGAGAAGACATTCTAAAAAACAAAAAAACATGGTAATGGTAGAATAAAACTTATACCCAAATTCCAAGCAAAACTCCTAACAATTCTTTTATTTTTTAAAAGTTACTTTATTTTGGGGGCACCTGGGTGGCTCAGTCGGTTGGGCGTCCGACTTCGGCTCAGGTCGTGATCTCACAGTTTGCGAGTTCGAACCCTGCATCAGGCTCTGTGCTGACAGCTTGAGCCTGGAGCCTGCTTTGGATTCTGTGTCTCCCCCTCTCTGTGCCCCTCCCCTGCTCCTGCTCTGTCTCTCTCAAAAAATAAACATTAAAGATCAGTGTTGTATTACTTTCAGGTGCACAGTACAGTGATACAGCACTCCTGTAATTCCTACCAGTTCTTACGTGCCCACAGCTAATTAAGAATGAACTTTAATAGTCTACAAACTGATTTTACCATCCAATACACCCAGGCCATTTCTCTCAATCTTTTATCAAGGAATTAAAAGAAACGATACTGCACGATCATCTTAGGCAAATGTATTTAGAAGGATGAACATGCTTTTAAATTATAATACTCCAAAGCCAAAAAAACATACAGGCCTCGGAACATTTACTGCTTTCAATGATCTTCCACATTCTTCGTCATTCCTAAGTGTTAGTAACTACACATGATATATGCCCTCTCTCAGAATTTACCCTACCTGATGTATCTTTGATTTTGCAGCTTCTATTAGGGCTCCACTTTCAGCTTTGTGATTAGATCCGTCTTTGTTGGTGTTGTTACCAGTCTGTAGGGTGGTGAAACAGAGTTAACGGAAATTAAAATTTTTTTGCCATAATTTGAATCAGTGATTTCCAAGCGTGCTAGTCTGAATCACCTAGAGAGCATTTCCAAATTTCAGAATCCAGACTTCAGGTGGAATAGTCTGGAGTAATAGGCAACTTTTTTTTTTTTCTTAAGGAAACTCTACTTTTGAGAAGCTTGCACTGAGCATAATGATAGCCTGGTTTAAAAAGCACAGATATTACTCAAGCAAAACTTGAGGTTATCCTTCTGGAACCCAGAACAGACCATGTCATTCCCTTCTTAAAAATTTTCTCTGGTATAAACACTGGCAACATCATACCCTAGATTCCTAGCAGTGTTCAAAAGCCTTCACAATGAGACCCATTATTTGAGTTGCCAATCTCGTCTCCTGATCTCCACTGACTTTTCAGGTATACTATGCATTTGAGGTTGCCGGAAATTCCTCCAATATTCCACTCTCACCTCTGTGCTGTTTTCTCTGCCACGACGGTTACCCTGCTCCAGCCTGCTGCTTCTGTCTACTCAAACCAAATCCTTCAAGGCCTAAATCGAACATCCAAACTTCCTTCCCCACCTTCCTCCCAGCCCCTGGACAGATGCTCCCCAGCTTTCTCCTCCCACACACTGGAGTTCCTGGAAAAGCGAAAATGTTTTCATTTTTGTCACTTTAATAGCTAATAGAGGACACAAGCATCTGTTGAACAGAACTGCATTTTCTCAACTCTTATCAGTACTGAATATAAAAATAAAGTATTTTACCACACAGTGTTTAGGAATAATGCTAAGATGATTTAACCAAATTCTTTTTTTTTTACAGTATTTTTTTTAACGTTTATTTATTTTTGAGAGAGAGAGAGAGAGAGCGCGCGCGTGCGAGCGGGGCAGAGGCAGAGAGAGAGAGGGAGACGGAATCCAAAGCGGGCTCCAGGCTCCAACCTGTCAACACAGAGCCCGACGCAGGGCTCAAACCTACAAACCGTGAGATCATGACCCGAGCCAAAGTCGGATGCTTAACCAACTCAGCCACCCAGGCGCCCCTGAAGTATTCTTACCAAGTCTCTTATCAGAATATGTCATAAATGTGCACTCTTTCTAAAGAAATTTCATGATGAAATATTTTCTAGTGAAAGCTGCCTGTTTATCCAGCTTTGGGGTTTCTATTGTCTTAACTCTAATCTTTACATTCTGTAAAATTAGTATCTCACACATGCCAAGATGCTAACATACTGAGACCCTCATAAGACGCTGGTAGGAATGGAAAATTGTGTGACATTTTCAGCCTCTGTACAACAGGCTGGCAGTTCCTCCTAAGATTAAACACAGAATTACCATACAATCCAGCAATTCCACTCTTGGACATGCACCCAAGAGAAATGAAAACATGCCGCCACAAAAACTTGTACACAAATGTTCACAGTAGCATCATTTATATCACCAAATGTGGAAAACAACCCAGATGACCATCATCTGATGGATAAAAACCTGTGGCAAATTGATACAATGGAGTATGATCTGGCCATAAAAAGCAAAGAAATATACATGCTACAACCTGGTCAACTTTGAAAGTATCGAACTAAGTGAAAGAAACCAATCACAAAAGGCCATATATATGAAATGGCCAGGATAGTCCAAATTCGAAAAAATAGAAAGTACATCAGGGGCACCTGGGTGGCTCAGTCGGTTAAGTGTCTGACTCTTGGTTTTGGCTCCGGTCACCATCTCATAGTTCAGGAATTTGAGCCCTGCATCATGCTCCCCTCTGGCAGCACAGAGCCTGCTTGGATTCTCATTCTCTCTCTCTCTCTCTCTCTCTCTCTCTGCCCCTCCCCGCTTCCTCTTTTTTGCAAAATAAATAAACTTAAAAAAAAAAAAAAAAAGATTTGTGGTTGCCAGGGGCTGGGGAAAGGGGAAAAGAAAAAGTGCTAACCGGGTACGGGGTTCCTTTTTGGGGTGATGAAAATGTACACAGTGGTGATGCTCGTACAACTCAGTAAGCATACTAAAAACCACTGAATTATACACTTTAAAAAGGTAAATTTTGTGGATGCGAATTATATTTACCTTTGCTTTTTTTTAGGTCATTAATCAAAAAAAATTTTTTTTTAGTTAAATAGGCTCCATGCCCAACGTGGGGCTCAAATTCATGATCCTGAGACCATGAGCCACACACTCTACCAACTGAGCCAGCCAGACTGCCCTCATTAATAAAAAATTTAACTCACCTGTCTCTCCCTACGTAGCCTGTGGGCCACCTGAGGGTAGGCATAATTCTTTTGATTTTCATTTATTAAAAAAATTTTCATAAACAACAACAAAAAAATAAGCTGTAACAAAAAAGATTTTTTTGAGGTATAATTGACATATAACATTATGTTTTAGGTCTACAACATAACGATTAGATATCTGTATCAAGTGTGAAATAAAGAAGTCTAGCTAGGGGCGCCTGCGTGGCTCAGTCAGTTAAGTGTCTGACTCCAGCTCAGGTCATGATCTCACGGTTCACAAGTTCAAGCCCCGTGTTAGGCTCTGTGCTGACAGCTCAGAGCCTGGAACCTGCTTCAGATACTGTGTCTCCTTCTCTCTCTGTCCCACCCCTGCTCACACTCTCTGTCTCTCAAAAACAAATAACATTGCAAGGAAAAAAAATAAGTCTAGTTAAAACATCCATCACTAGACTGTACAATTACAAAGGTCTCTTTCTTGTGCTGAGGACTTTGAATATCTACTCTCTTATCAACTTTCACATATGTTATACAGTATTATTGATAGCCACCATCCTGTATAATGAGTTACATTTCAATAAAGCTGTTAAAATATTTAATAACCATAAATTTTAATCTGATCACCTTACAACACTCACCTCATTCTTCCCATTTTTGTTATTGTTACCCTGTGAAATCATTTTTTCTAGGACAGCAAGAAGATGCAAAGCTTTCTCAGCTTGATAGGTTAATATATATAGGTCTACAAGCAAAAAACACACTGCTTGGGCAAATTTTTCTTCTGGGGGAAAAAAACAAGAAAAGAAAAGTTACAATCCAAAGTAAAGCAAACATTTCAGACCACTCCTCTCCCCAGATTCCTAAAGAGCAAAGCCTAAATCTTTATTTTTGTTTTGTTTTTTGTTTTTAAATGTTTATTTATGTTTCAGAGAGAATGAGAGAGAGGGCGGGCGGACATGTGTGGGAAAGGGGCAGAGAGAGAAGGAGACAAAGTATCCAAAGTGGGCTCGGTGCTCTCAGACCAGGGGTCAAACTCATGAACCGTGAGATCATAACCTGAGCCAAAGTCAGGCGCTTGACAGACTGAGCCACCCGGGCGCCCCCTAAGTCTCTTTATTTAAATGTGTGTTCATCCCCCAGAGCCATGAAGGGAAGCAACCTGCAATACCAACAATGCGATTGCAGTATTCTCCATCTGAAGGCCTCCCGTCGCTGGGTTTCTACTAGCTGATCCTTCTTTGGCAAAATATCTACCAACACACCAAATGAGGAAAATCACTTCAGGTAGAAGGAAACCTCAATTCCTGTACCTGTTCAGCTACTTACTGGATATGTTGCCTCTATATATCAGCGAGCTAATTTTTACACCTCAGCTGGCTGACCTGTAAAATGGGGAGAATACTTCACCTGCTTGAAGGCAGGGGAGTGAACCAGGTCATCTCTTGAGGTTCCTTCCAACTCTAACAAGGACTTCAAAGGAAGAAGAGCCCAATGAAGAGAGAAAGGGTAACCTGGTATGTCATAATACTATTTTCTTTTCCTTTCAAAAGAGAAGATAAAAGGAAAAATAAGATCTAAAAAAGGATGCTAAAATCAAGACCAGAAAAATTTAAAAGCCCTTAAGAGCCTTTTAACAAGTCTTCCCGATTCCATTCTTGTTCTTACAGAGCAGCCGGAGTGGAATCAATTGAAAACTAGAATCAACATGGTTGATGCACAAAGGTCATATATCTCTACGGGTTACACACCACTCTTTTTAAGTTTATTTATTTTGAGAGAGAGAGAGAGAGAGAGAGCGAGCGCGCGAGCGTGCACTGTCAGCAGAGAGCCTAATGCAGGGCTCGATTCCAGGACCCTGGGATCATGACCTGAGCCTAAACCAAGAGTTGGACACTCAATCGAGTGAGCCAACCAGGCATCCATCCCACCACTACTCTTAAAACACTAAGTCCTTGGGGCACCTGGGTGGCTCAGTCGGTTAAGCGTCCGACTTTAGCTCAGGTGGTGATCTCACGATCCGTGATGTGGAGACCCACATCGGGCTCTGTGCCTGGAGCCCGCTTCGGATTCTGCGTCTCCCTCTCTCTCTGCCCCTCCCCCACTCACACTCTGTCACTCTCAAAAATAAAAACATTAAAAAAAATTTAAAAAACCAACGAAAACATTAAGTCCTTACCCAGGCCACAGGACTTCACCTGTTCCTTACCCTGCTGCCTCTGACGTCACCTGCTACTGTTCTCCCCACCTGGCTCCAGGTCAACGACCTGCTGTTTCTCACTCGGCAAACTCAAGCTCATCTCAGATGCTCTGTACACAGTATCACCTCTGGCTGGAATGCCTTCCCCTCAAGAGTCATGTGGCTCACCTCCTCTCTTCACTCAGGTCTCTTTTCAAATGCTGTCTTACCCCAGGCCTTCCTTGATTGCCTTACCTAAAAACAGCGTTCCCAGTCCACCTCTATCCTCTTACCAGTTTTAGCTTTTCTTCATGGCATTTGGCTACCTCACAATACATACTTATTGTGTCGCTCGCTCTTGCGTTAGAATATAAGCTTAACGAGGGTAAAGGCTCTGTTTCAGTCACTACATTATCTTCAGAACCCAGAACAGTTTGGGTCCACCGTGTATGTTCAATAAATACATGCTGTGTGAAGAACCAAGCAGTAAAGTTTTTAAAAATAACAATAACAATTTTCAAAGAAGAAGAAAAATGGATCTGAATTCTGCCTCGGTGGCTTTATTCCACTTGGCCACCATACATAGGAACAAGATTTAATGAACGGTTCCCGAAATTCTAACAACCAGCTTCGTAGGGGTGCCTGGCTGGCAAGGTCGGTGCAGCGTGCGACTCCTGATTTTGGGGTCACATGTTCAAGCCCCACATCAGGTGTAGAGATTACTTTAAAAAAAAAAAAAAGCTTTAGAGAAAAATACATCTGAGGGGGCGTCTGGGTGGCTTAGTTGGTCGAGAGTCCAACTCTTGATTTTGGCTCAGGTCAGGCATGATCTCACAGTATGTGAGATCAAGCCCTGAGCTGGGCTCTGAGCTGACAGCACAGAGCGTGTTTGAGATTCTCTCTCTCTCTCTCTCTCTCTCTCTGTTCCTCCCCAGTTCATATGTGTGCGCACTCTCTCCCAAAATAAATTTAAAAAGAAAAATCCATCTGTGTCATCCTGGAGGTATAATTCTGATTTCCAGCTTTACAGAGAAAGGAACTGGCCGCTGTTTACACCATCTTCACCACAGGCATCTCTCCTGCCCAATCTGTCCAGCCACCATGCCCTCAGGACGGAGGAAGAGAGGAGCACCTTGAAAATGCCTCCCTGGAGCCACAGGAAACAGCCATTCAACCAGCTAAAAGCAAAAGGGGACCCTGTAACTCTTCCCAAAGCCCCACAGAGGAGCCATCACACTCTGCTTCTTATCCTGCGGGAACCACATTAGCAATCAGGTGTTTATAAATCAAGAACTGGCATTAGTGTTTCGAATTTAAAAGAAAGTAACCTGAAGAAAAAGAGAAAAACATGATCACATTGAAATCTGACTGCTTGTGGGCTGGAAACAAACAGCCCCCTCTAACAACCACCTCCTGGATCTGGCTCTGCTGCCTTATTTGCTCCCTCTTTTTTCCCTCGCCTGTACCTTTCTTACTACGGTTACTCAAGGCTAGTAACTGCAAGATAATCGCGACACCAAAACAGAGTCTGTACTATCTACTCCAGGGATTACCCACGAAACTGTCAGGGGGGCAACAGACAAGAAGATACCAGGCTGTCCGCTAACATCCCCACTCTTAACACACCGCTCAATAAAGAACAGATCAGGTACACGAAGCTGTGTTCACACAGCAAAGAAAAAAACAAAAAGCACGAAGTCTTTCCAATTAGCAACCTCATTTCTGATCTCAATTTGCAAAAATCGAGGGGTAGGAGTGGGGAGGAAATGGGAGAAGAAAACCTGGGTTCATCTAAAAGTAATGTCATTCTTCTCTTTGTTATCTTTAGTGGCTAAAACTGGACACAGCTTTTCTCCTTCTTTCTTTTTTTCTAATTAATTTTTTTTTTTAACGTTTATTCATTTTAGAGACAGAGAGAGACAGAGCATGAATAGGGGAAGGTCAGAGAGAGAGGGAGACACAGAATCCGAAACAGGCTCCAGGCTCCGAGCTGTCAGCACAGAGCCCGACGCGGGGCCCGAACTCACGGGAGATCACGCGAGATCATGACCCAAGCCGAAGTCGGTCGCCCAACCGACTGAGCCACCCAGGCGCCCCTCCTTCTTTCTTTAAATAGTGGCATGTGATTCCTTGATTTAACTGGGTAAGAAACTACCAGAGCCCCCTCGGAGTATGACAGGGAAGTTCTGGACTTGAGAGAACATACCAAAAGGTTCTATGAACTGGTAGAGCTTTTCACCAACTGCTATGGCCTCTGAGTACTGCCGCAGATGATACAGAAAGACTGCCTGATTGTAATACAACATGCTGTTCTCCACGTCGTCTAAGCCATCCATTTCTTCGACAGCTGAGTGGACCTACGAAACAGTCAGCCAGGATATGTTCTCAAAACAGTAAGAAAATAAAGAGAAATGAAAGAAGCTATGCGAGTAAACGGGAACACAGGCCAACATTTCTCACTCTGGATTTTTCCACATTTTCAACAGAACTTCCGGATTTTAATTATTCTTACTAAAAATTATTTTATTAATAATAAAATTCCATTAAGTAAAACATTTTCATGGGACTTTATGTAGACAAGGCAAGGCAAGTCTGTTCCTTGCCACTGTGAAGAACGTCTCAACCGCCAACATGGCTTTTGAACTGGTTCCCCACTTTGTAGCCTCCTTGGGAGCGAGCAAAACTCAAAACAATCTTTCCCATGTGCACTACGTTATGCACTATGTATACGTAAGCTTGATTCCATTTTGTAAAAACTAAACTAAAACTTAAACATTAACAAACAGCTAACTACTTAACTATGGGCCAGACCTGCTACATTAAACATTTTCCAGAGAATATCTCATTTAATCCTTACCATACCTCAAGGACATAGACATTATCATTCCCATTTTATAAGTAAGAAGACCAGCACAAAAAGCTTAACTATCTTGCCCAAGGCCTTATAGCTAGGAAGTATATTTTCTGAATTTCCTCTTATGTTCAGGTTTTGTTCCCATAACTTAAAGAAAGCAGATTATTTTATTTGAAATTTTTTTCTCATGTTTGAGAGAGCACGTGCACGCACAAACAAGCACAAGCAGGGAACGGGCAGAGAGAGAAAGAGAATCCCAATCAGGATCTGCACTGTCAGCACAGAGATGGACGCAGGTCTCAATCCCATGAACCGTGAAGTCGTGACATGACCTAAGCCAAAATCAACAGCTAGACACTTAACTGACTTGAGCCACCCAGGAGCTCTTAAAAAAATAGAATCTTTAGGGGCGCCTGGGTGGCGCAGACGGTTAATCGTCCGACTTCAGCCAGGTCACGATCTCGCGGTCCGTGAGTTCGAGCCCCACGTCAGGCTCTGGGCTGATGGCTCGGAGCCTGGAGCCTGTTTCCGATTCTGTGTCTCCCTCTCTCTCTGCCCCTCCCCCGTTCATGCTCTGTCTCTCTCTGTCCCAAAAATAAACAAACGTTGAAAAAAAACGTTGAAAAATAGAATCTTTAAATAAACAACAAAAATAGGCTATTGATGGCTTTACTAAAACACTAACATCTACATCTGATACCAGAAGAAAAAAAAATAAGTTTGCATTGTATTATTTTTTAAATTTATTTTTATAAGTTTATTTATTTTAAGAGTGAGAAAGCACAAGTTGGGGAGGGACAGAGAGAGAATCCAAAGCAGACTCTGCTCTGTCAGTGCACAGCCCTTTGTGGGGCTCAGATGCTTAACTGACTGAGCCACCCAGGGGCCCCCACACTCTGCATTTTTTTTTTTTTTTAATTTTTTTTCAACGCTTTTCACCTATTTTTTTTTTTGGGGACAGAGAGAGACAGAGCATGAACAGGGGAGGGGCAGAGAGAGAGGGAGACACAGAATCGGAAACAGGCTCCAGGCTCCGAGCCATCAGCCCAGAGCCTGACGCGGGGCTCGAACCCACGGACCGCGAGATCGTGACCTGGCTGAAGTCAGACGCCTAACCGACTGCGCCACCCAGGTGCCCCAAGCATTTTAAAGCTAACGACTACCTGCTTATCCCCTCCCTAAGTTATTGCAGTAGGCTTACAAATTTTAATAAAGTTTCATAGCCATTCTGTACTTTCATGTAATACACAAAGCTGGAATTAGTATTAAAACTAATCTTTCTTTGTCACTATGAAGATTGGAGTAAGTTACCAAGCAATGTTAAGTAATTAATTCTAAGACTGACGTTCCCCTACATTAAGCAGTGGAACTTTGATATACATGATGAACTTAACGTTTTGCTAATGACAAGGTACCAGAAGTTTCAGGACACATAGTGATCTGTAATCAGACATCTGCAGACTTCAGTCATAACGCGTAAGCCTGACAGGGAGGTGCAAATGTTACCAACTGGTCCTCTCTGACCAACAGCACGGGCATCTCAGTGAATTCGGAGCTTCTGTATAATCTTCACTTACCAAGTCACTATCTTCCGATGATTAAAAATAGTCTGTAGAGAAAACTCAATTTCCAAAGAAAGACAATACTTCTTGGTAGTAATGTAATGCAGAGAGAATGAGCTAAGAAAGGGTTAATTCTTAGCCAGAAAGGGGGGTTTTGGACAAATTAAGGAATTTTGGATTCAAAAAGGATTGAACTTGTGACATATATAACCGCCACACTTTCTGTGATTCACGAAAAACATGAACTTGTTTGGCTCTAGACAAAACAAACACTATTCGTTAAATGAGATAAAGCATAATAGAAGTGGAATGGGTTGAAAAGGTATGTATGTAACTATGCCCAGGGCATAGGACCTTGAACAGAAGTATGATTTAGAGAAAAGTTAGGAGACACGGGTATAAACACTTCTAGGAAACACAAGACAGTGGATTGCATGAGGGGTATTACTGAACCAGCCTTATTAAGAATCAAGGCTGGTGAAGGGTGCCTGGTTGGCTCAGTTGGTTAAGCGTTTGACTTCAGCTCAGGTCATGATCTCATGGTTCGTGACTTCAAGCTTCATGTCGGGCTCTATGCTGACAGCTTAGAGCCTGGAGTCTGCTTCAGATTCTGAGTCTCCCTCTCTCTCTTCCCCTCCCCCACTCAAGCTCTGTCCCTCAAACGTTAAAAAAAAAAATTAAAAAACAAAAAGGTGGATCATTGTTTAAAAAAAAACAAACAAACAAACTCTGATTCTTGATTTTGGCTTAGGTCATGATCTCATGGTTCCTGGGATAAGCCCTGCATAGGGCTCTGCCCTGACAGGGCGGAGCCTGTTTGGGATTCTCTCTCATCTCTGTGTGTCTCTCTCTCTCAAAATAAATAAATAAACATTAAAAAAAAAAGGCTGGTGAAAGGATTTTATAAAGCAGTTTTCTTGGCTTAACAGGAAGCTTGCAAGAGTCTCTTTCTTATTCTAAAAAAGGTTTTGGGCACTGCATCTGGATGGCTCAGTCAGTTAAGCATCCGACTCTTGATTTCAACCCAGGTCATGATCTCAAGGTTCGTGAGTCTGAGCCCCAGGTCAGGTTCTGCACTGACAATATGGAGCCTGCTTGGAATTCTGTGTCCCTCTCTCTCTGCCTCTCTCTCAAAAATAAACAAACATTTTTTTAAAAAATTAAAGGAATAAAAAAATAAAAAAGATTTTGGGGCACCTGGCTGGCTTAGTTGGTAGAACATGAGACTCCTGATCTCAGGGTTGTGAGTTCGAACTTCACATTGGGTGTAGAGATCACTTACAATCTATAAGAAAAACTCAGGGTGCCTGGGCAGCTCAGCTGGTTAAGCGGCCGACTTCGGCTCAGGTCACGATCTCACGGTTTGTCAGTTCAAGTCACATTTGGGCTAGCTGCTGTCAATACAAAGCCCACTTGGGACTCTCTGTCCCTCAGTCTCTCTGCCCCTCCCCAGCTTGCTTGCTCTCTCTCTCTCTCAAAATAAATAAACTAATTTTAAAAAATGTTAAAAATAAAAAGAGTCAGAAGGTCTGGGGGTGCCTGGATGGCTCAGTCCTTACAGCATGCAACACTTGACCTTGGATTGTAAGTTTGAATCCCACATGTAGAGTTTACTTAAAAAAAAAAAAAAAAAAAAAAAAAAAAAAAAAAAAAAAAGTCTGAAGGTCTGGTTTGAATCTTGCTCCTACTTTTCCTGGCCACATAAATTAAACTCATTAGGCTCTCTGAACCCCAGTTTTACAACTGCAATTACAAGGACCTATCTCAAGGGTTGAATATGAGAATTATAGGAGATAAAACATAAAACACATTTAATAAGGAATTTGGAATCACATAAGAGTTTGATAAATATTGGCCATTTTTCTTTCTTTCTTTCTTTCTTTTTTTTTTTAAGTTATCTCTACGCCCAGCATGGGGCTTAAACTCCCAACCCTGAGATCAAGATTGATCCAGCCAGTAAATTACTTCACTCCTGTAATTAGGAAGAGCCTGAACAGGTTACTTATTTCTAACAATACCATGTATAGGGTGATACTGTAGAGTATCTTTACTCCCCCCCAAAATTACAAAGAACCTGGAGGGGTCACTTATTTCTAACTAGGTCACATTTTAGGGTGATACTCTACTGCATAATGGTACCCAGGAACACAGGACAGGGGCTCAAAAAGGTCTCAAGACCTTGAAGCAGTTCAGAGGCACAGGCCCTAGAGTCAAAGGAGACTGGGTTCATGGAGCTGTTTTCGTTTAAGAGCTTTGTGTCTTTGGACAATTTACACCAGCTATCTGTACCTCAGCTTTCCCATCTGTAAAATGAGAAACATCATAGTGGCTGCTTTATAGGACTGCTGGAAAGAGTGAGATGCTGCATGCAAAGTTCTCAGCAGGGCCCTATTACATAGTAGGCAACAAATGTCTGCTACCCGATCCTATCATCATCGTCATCTTCGTTAGCCCTCTTGACTACCAAAGCTCTAACCCTGTGATGGGAGAGATGTTGCTGTTATGACCGATGACCAAGGCAAGCACCAAACCATATATAAATCAGAATATCTTCTATTTAATCAATTAACATCCCCTCATCCAAAATGCTAAAACAATCTCACATTATTATCATCAGATCTTTGCAGTCACAAGAAAGATAATCTCAGCAGCTAAGCTTCTTCATAGATTTCCACTTTAATTTTCCTTCAAAATTCCAAAGCTCATTCAAATTTGGTAGATTAGTCTATTCTGTTCAAATTAGAAAATAAAATTACACAGCATACGTTTCATTTCCTGGAATAATAATTTTATACAAATAAAACTAATGTAAGTTGTTTTAGACACATTAGAAGTTGTGCTACCAATAACAGACAAGTCATATTAATTTTCCTTAAGTATTTTTACTTCACAATTCAGAGAATATCACAACATTTTTATAGCTAAATTCATTTGTGTATCACCTGATTCTTCAGTTGGTTAAGTGTTTGTCTCAAACTGTCTGTTGTCATTTGGTTACTTTTAAAAAACTCAGCCACTGCTGTATTCAAAATTATTTTATAATCATCTTTGTTCACTTCTTGTAGGCAGGCAAGGTGTTGCAGACAGGCATCATAATTTCCAGCCTAAAACAAACCAACAAAAAAAACACACACACAGACAAAATTACCTATTACCTTTAAAACTAAGACATTCATTTCCAAATACGTTTCATTCGTCTCTATTTGGAAAACTCTTTAAAAAGACAGATCTAATTCCCCAAGTATACTAATTAAAGTCACTGAATGAAACAATATTCATGTCAATTAAGAAAGTGGGGTATGTCAATTGTATCTCAATAAAGCTAGAAATTATAGAGATTTATTTCTCAAGACTCACACTCTAACACCACTATGTGTATAAGTCATACATAGACACATAAGTGTATCATATACCTATGTACATGTATAAAACCACATCTCTCTCACACACACACACACACACACACACACAGGTATATATTGCTAGCACGGTATAACAGCTGAGGCTAGCCCAAGAAAGGTAATATGATTTAATTTCTAATAAATATGCTCTGAATACCCAAGTATCAAATTCTTCTGCTTACATGTATGTAACCTGATAGTCAAATAAGGTTTTCTTTCATATCGTTTAACATCAGAAAAGTTAAAGTTTTGACAAGAAACTTCTGGGGTTCCATTTTAAAGAACATGCAAGAAAGAGCACCGAACAAAGAAGTGAACGGAAAAGACTGACCCATATAATTACAAACCTAAGTTTAAAAGACTGAAAAAAATAACAGTGTAAGAGTCAACACGTTCATGAAACACAAACACTTGGGAATGGCTCAAATTACTCCCATTCCTTTTACCACATTTAAACTCCCAGTGTTTAAAAAATTTAAATAAAACCTACTCTCTAAACTTAATTCTTGAGTTATTACAGAACAAAAGTTACAAGTTTAAAAATTCGTTGTGAAAAGATTCATATTCGACAGATCCTAAAAACGGAAACCGCAAGAAGCCGCTGCTTACTGTGAAAGCCTGGAAAGCACTGGTGGACAACTCCTTCTCTTGATCGGTGATCCCAGAGGACTGACTCGTCCCTTCATGTTTCTCTGCTCCCTGATCTGCAAGCACACAAGTTTTGCAGTTGTTTAGAAATGAAGTGGTACAGCGAGTGTGCCCCTGGTTTTCGTCCTAATGAAGCTGCTATAGTTAGGGCGCTCTCAATTACCATGACTTATCAGTGTTATAAGGAGTTAGAAGTCACTCCTCCAGAAACTTAAAGAAACCTTTCCCTTAGCCATGGTCTGGCACAATGAAAACCCACCACCACATATGGAAGAATCACAGCTCTGTCCATCAGGACTGAGAATGTTGCATTCACTCAAAACATATTAGATCTGCCCCCGAGCAATCTATACCAAAGTCCCACATATTCAAGAAACTATGCCAGGCTCTGGAGACACAAGAAGATTATAAATGCATACACAATACCTTCAAAAAGGTTATAATCCAGCTGGAATATAATAACATTTAACAATTAGAAAACTACATTGCTAAGAACTCATAGTTAATTTCCAGGCCAAGAATGCTTTCATAGGCTTAGAAATCCAAAAGCCAACATTAACACATTTAAAAAGCTTCCTTGGGGGGGACTGGGTGGCTCAGTCGGTTAAGCGTCCGACTTCAGGTCAGGTCATGATCTCGTGGTCCATGAGTTTGAGCCCGGCATTGGGCTCTGTGCTGACCGCTCAGAGCCTGGAGCCTGCTCCAGATTCTGTGTCTCTGTCTCTCTCTGCCTCTTCCCTGGTTGTGCTGTCTCTCAAAAATAAATAAACATTAAAAAGAAATTTTTTCTTAAAGCTCCCTTAACATGGTTAAATATCTACATACAATCTTTTTTCCCAGAAGTTTATTTTATTAAATTTTAATTTTAATTAATTTATTTTTTAATGTTTATTTGGGGGAGGAGGAGCTAAGAGAGAGAGGAGGACAGAGGATCCGAAGTGGCTCTGCACGGACAGCAGCAAGCTGATGCAGGACTCGAACCCACGAACCATGAGATCCCGACCTGAGCAGAAGTTGGACACTCAACCAACTGAGCCACCCAGGCACCCCTAATTTTTGATAGAGAATCCAAGTGGGAAAGGAGGGCAGAGAGAAAGAGAGAATCCCAAGCAGGATCCACACTGAGCGCTGAGCCCAGCAGGGGGCTTGATCCCATGACCCTGGGATCATGACCTGAGTCGAAATCAAGAGTTGGACGTTCAACCCATTGAGCCACCCAGGTGCCCCAAGTATCCATATACACTCTAAGATTAATGATTCCTGCCCCACAATTTTGTATTTTCAAAATTAATTTTTTATTTGAAAACAGAATTCCAAAATAAGCATAAAAATCTCTGCTAAATCAAGTCTAAAACTACTCCAGTTCACTACTCTTAACTGCTCTGACAAATGCTTCAAAAAAATACTTTTTAACGAAAGCATCATCGATCCCAACTTTGCATGATGCAGTCACATGGTCTCAGCTCTTCTTGTTCACCAGGGATCTGTCTCGACTAAGCCTCATCTATATATTGTGGCAGATGATTTTGGGGAGAGGGACTGGCAGAAATCATGCTTTTCCTTAGGATCTGGGGCCTTGATGTCAGAGAAGTAACAAGAAGCTAAACCATGAAATCACACTCTGGAGACAACAGAGTTTCCTCTGTAAAGTTACAAAGCAGTAGCCATAAAACATAGTTCCCATTGCACACTACGAAACAAACCTGAGCTTTTGAAAATTTTTAAAGGAAAGAACTGGTAACAAAGTTATAAAAGTTAATAGGAATAAATACTTCCAGGTAACCACATCTACAGAGCCAAAAAAAAAAAAAAAAAAAAAAAAAAAAAAAAAAAAAAAAAAAAAAAATTCAGCATCTAGTACATCAAGGGACCAGAAAGAATGTTAAATCCTTTAACTCCACGTTTGAACAGATTTCAAAATCTTTCAGCCCTTTTCACATTTATTCAATGCCATAATAATAATTAAGCACTGGGAATGGGAACGGCAGGAAGGGGAGGCAAGTGACAGTGCCTTGAAAGCTACAGCAAACTGCAATGCTGATTATTTTAACTTCATTTAATCTCAAATCAATCACAGCATTTCTTGCTTTGCCCTGAGGTACTGAACTCAAAATACAACTTGTACTTAATAAAGACCAGTCTTTAGGGGTGCCTGGGTGGCTCAGTCGGTTAAGCATCCGACTTCGGCTGTCACGATCTCACGGTCCATGGGTTCGAGCCCTGCATCGGGCTCTGTGGTGACAGCTCAGAGCCTGGAGCCTGCTTCAGATTCTGTGTCTCCCTCTCTGTCTGCCCCTTCCCTGCTTGTGCTCTGTCTCTCTGTCTCAAAAATAAACAAACATTAAAAAAAAAAAAAAAGATAAAGATCAGTCTTTAGAAACGGTCTTTTACTATTTGAAACTTTTCCCACTTAGAAAACTTTCTTTTGATTTAAAAAACTAACAAACAAACAAACAAACAAAAAACACCAGGGTACCTGGGTGCCTCAATCGGGTAAGTGTCTGACTTTGGCTCAGCTCATGACCTCACAGTTCCTGGGTTAGACCACCGCCTTGGGCTCTGTGCTCAGAGTCTGGAGCCTCCTTCAGTTCTGTCTCCCTCTCTCTCTGCCCCTTCCCCACTCACACACACTCTCTCTCTCAAAATAACATTAAGAAATTTTTTTTAAAAAAGGACATTCTCCTACATAACCAACTAAAATGGTCACACTAAGAAAAGTAACAATAAATCAATAATATCATCTAACAAACAATTTCCCTGATTGTTCTAAGAAATATCTTATCACTGTATTTTTCCCTCCCAATCCGGGTATCAATCAAGGCTCACATATTTCCCTTAAATAGCTTTTGTTTCTCTTATTCCAGAGCACTTCCTCACCTTCTGCTGCTCCTCAAGTCACCACTTGTTTTAAAGTCTAAGCTGGGCACCTGTGTGGCTCAGCCGCTTAAGCCTCCAGCTCTTGGTTTTGGCTCAGGCCATGATCTCATGGTTAGTAAGATGAAGCCAAGCTGACAGCACGGAGCCTGCATGGGATTCTCTCTCTCCTTCTCTCTCTGCCCCTCCCCCTGCTCATGTGCTGTCTCAAAATAGAGAAAGAAAGAAAGACACTTAAAAAAAAAAAATAAAGAGCCTAAGATAGTTACCTTGTAGAATGTTCCATATTCTGGGTTTATCTGATTGTTTCCTCATGCATTTAGTCTAACATTTATGGCAAGAATATTATATATGGGATAATAAATATCAGTAATTTTTAACATTAATTTTTCTGAGAGACAGAGAATGGCGGGGGGCAAAGGGAGGTAGGTAGGGAGAATCTTAAGCAGGGCCCGCACCCCAGAGCAGAGCCTGACGAGGGCTCCATCTCACAACCATGAGATCACAACCTGAGCGGAAGTCAAGAGTCGGACACTTAACCAACTGAGCCACCCACGTGCCCCAACATTTTAATTTTGTTTAAAAAATCTGCGTTTTGTTTTAAAAAGGTGACTTTTGGGGCGCCTGGGTGGCGCAGTCGGTTAAGCGTCCGACTTCAGCCAGGTCACGATCTCGCGGTCCGTGAGTTCGAGCCCCGCGTCGGGCTCTGGGCTGATGGCTCGGAGCCTGGAGCCTGTTTCCGATTCTGTGTCTCCCTCTCTCTCTGCCCCTCCCCCGTTCACGCTCTGTCTCTCTCTGTCCCAAAAATAAATAAACGTTGAAAAAATAAAAAAAATAAAAAATAAAAAGGTGACTTTTATGTTTCAATCATCTCCCAAAGAATATTCTGGCTTTTTTAGTTTTAGTCACCAACAAAAGCCCCATGCACCATTAACGGAATACCAACGGAAAGTAACAGGACCACTGCATAAATAGGATGCATGGGCTGCAAACACAGGTACGTGAGGGTGATGCCATTGTTGATGACTCAGAATAAAAAATTCATTAGACTATCAAAGTCTCACAATATTTGAATTTATTTACACAAGAGTTTTTTTCAGATAGAATTGTTGCTCCAGCCTGGAATCTAAAGACCTCCAAAGCTTGAACCGAGGTAAAAAACGGAGATAAGAAAGCCCTTTTTGGAGTTATTGGGAGGCTTCACCGAGAATATACGTGAAGTGATGAGAATGTATCCGGCAGAGTAGGTCCCCCTATGTGGCATGGTGGTGCAGACTTTATTGTTCCAACACACAGAGGGGACCCAGGAGCACGGGGAGGTAGAGCCAATACCTGGAACTGAAGTAAGAAGACCAAAACTCTCGTGCCACTTCTGAAATTACACAGTTGATACACAAGTGGAACTGGGGCAAATATCAGTTTTCCTAGTTACTAAAGAGCATCTGTATTAGATGGCTTTTAGGGTGCCCTCCAAGTCAGAAATTCAGTAACCCCAAACAAGCTTCTATAAAGCAGTGGATACGTTTGTTCACAAAGCAACACAATCCAACTCAAGTAGCAATGGAAGACAAATCTCCAAGTGGGGAGGTAGGGCAGATCATCTTGTCCCCCAGATTTACTACTCAATAATTCCTACAAACACTACCCTCGCCATCACCGCAAGCTTCCCAGAAGACATTGTTCATTCCTTAACCTTGACCGTGAAGAAACGCACAACACTCGCCTGAGTCTTTTTTTTTTTTTTTTTAACTGTGACAGTATGGCTTGAATATAATAAATTCAGGCCATACATCCAATTAATAAATAGCTGAGAGACCATAAGGGTCAAGCATCATTCTAAGTGCAAGGGATCGACACATGAACCACACAGACAGGGCTCCTGCACTTGTGAAACTCAGAGGTTCCTTGCGGAGATAAGATGCAAATCCGTGATTCCGGGTGTGACTAATGCCATGGCAATAACAAGGGCTGTGAGAGGGCACAGAGATGGCAAGTGAGGTCGGACCTAACTCAGAAGTCAGGTATGGGAAGTCCTGAGGAAACAGGGCTCCAAATGTAAACTGCTTGCAGCTTTGAAAGAACCACCACTCCTTCCGGCCCCTGCTAAACCAAGTTCTAGCTTGAGATACTATCTGCGCCTCCATTCTACACCACCTGCGACTTCTCCGCAATTGTAACAATAAAGCTAACATGCTTTGAGGGCTCACAAGGTGTTAGGCATGTAAGCACCTCAAATAGGGTAACTCATTTAATCTTCAAAGCAAGCTCTTAGGAGGGGCTTCTTTCTGGGTGTGTAAGGAGTCATTAAACTATGTACATTCATGATGTGGGCACTTTTTTTTTTTAACATTCCAAACACAGTACAGAAATACAAAATGCTTCGTGAATTTGCGTGTCCTCCTGCACGGGGGTGGTGCTAATCTCTGCACTGTTCCTATTTTAGTATATGTGCTGCCGAAGCAAACACAATGTGGGCATTTTTGAAACCTATATAGAAACCTATCTAGAAACCTATATTCCAGGAGCGTTCCAAAGAACCAGTCCTGCACAGAGCTGACTCTGGGAGCCCTGGCCTGGTACATCCTGGCCGTCAGTAAAGATTCCCAACTGCCCTCTCTCAAGAGGGCAACACGGTGCAACGAAAACTACAAACCTTGGAATCAGTCACATCTTCAGTCGGCCTCCCCTTGGCCACCTAACTCTCTGCTTACAGATGCTAAGTAAGTACTGGCTCTCTCCCCTTCCTTCTGGCAAAACAACCAACAATTCTGGCAGTTTCAAAAACAGACATATATATATGTATGTATATACATATATACATACACACACACACACAATTCTGCGCTCTAAACATACAATTAACAGTGAAAACAGCTTTAGCATGACTTGATCATGGAACGGCCCTTAGATCACCGTCAAATCCCCGGTAGACGGCACTCTCTTGAGAATCGCCACTTAACATCAAGAACAAAACATAACCTGTGCTAAATGAACTTATCTAAGACTTAGATCTGCCCTACAAAAAAAAAAAAAAAGTATTCTGGTATCTGGGTCTTTCAGAAGTGTTACTTCTGATACAGTTAGCAGACAAAGGGCGCCTGGCTTGCTCAGTAGGAACAGCACGCAGCTCTGGATCTCAGCGCCGTGAGTCTGGGCCCGACAATGGGTGTAGAGACTACTTACATAAAACTTAAAAAATTATATAAAATGAAACAGGAAAAAAAGTTAGCAGATAAATTAACATTTCACTTCTACTTCAGCATACAGATAAATAAGAATTGAGTCCTTATAGGGGGGAGGAAAGCTAACAGTTTATTGAAGAAAAGTTTAAAAGGACATCGTTAAACAGTTTTTTCTTTAGAAAGCCAAACAATGAGTTATTGTTAACCCAACTGTTTACACAATACATCTGTTCTGCAAAATTTTCAGGTGCACAAGAACAGTAAGGAGCCATTACTTTTAAATGTGTAAAAATGGGACCCAGGATTTCAAAGCTCCAGAAAGAATGGTTTAGATTAAAGCAGAACACTATACCGCATATGTATCTGTCATAAAATTTTAACAATGAATACAAAACTTTAAAAACGTTTAGGAAAACCAGAGTGTTTAAAACATTTATCTTCCCTCCCAAGGAAGTGCATTAAATTTAGACCAAATGTCAAAATTTCTTAGTTTGCCATTGAGTTCTCCCGCAGCTTCTTCTAAAATGTATGCTCTTGGGGCACCTGGGAGACTCAGTCAGCTAAGCGTCTGACACTGAGCTCAGGGGACAGCTGAGACGGAGCCCCGCGCCAGGCTCTATGCTGGCAGCGCTAAGCCTGCTTGGGATTCTCTCTCTCCCGCTCTCTCTGCCCCTCCGCCGCTCACACATGCACGTCTTCTCTCTCAAAATAAATAAATGAACTTTAAGAAATAAAAAAATCATAAAAAATAAGATACACCGTCTCTAGGTTACTTTTTAAGTTTTTTTTAAGTTTATTCATTCATTCTGAGAGAGACTGAGAGAGCACACAAGCTGGAGAAGGGTGGAGGGAGAGAATCCCAAGCAGGCTTGGTCCTCCACACTGAGCCGGTCGAGGGGCTCGATCCCACGAACCCTGAGATCACGAACTGAGCCAAAATCAAGAGTCGGATGCTTAACCGACTGAGCCACCCAGGCATCCCTCTAGGTTACATTCTTTGACAGGCCCAACTGCCAAAAAGTGATTTATAAATACTGTAAAGCAAGGAGAAATACCCAACAAGTCATCAACGCACTGAAGAGTTTAGGCTTCTACTCTGCATCATTACCCTCTAGGAACTATAAAAGTCTCCTATAATCTTCCTGAGAAAGAGAAGCCAGCTTTAAGATAAATAAACTAGACTCTAAGGCTTACAAGAGAGTCTGAAATTCCCATTTCTACAGACGTTTTGGAGAACAGAGCTCAAGAAACAGCCTTTTACCAGTTAACCATTATTTTATCTGCATTTTAACTTCAAGATAAAACTTTGAAACAAAAACACCCCAATGGGATCACTATTTTTGTTTTCCTTGTTATCTTTCTCTACTTTTCAAGTTTCCTATAAGGCATGGGTGTTATTTTTGTAGTCAGGTTTTTAAAACCTAGATTATTTGTGACTGCGGAGTTCTTACCAGAAAGAGTCTGCACATAATTCCACAATATGTCTTTATTTGTCCAAAAGTAGTCTCCGTTGCCGATTGTAAGAGAAAATGGCCCTTCATCCTTAAACCTGCCTTTCCTTCTACTCTGGCCTAACGAACATGGCTGAGCTTCTAGGCGTACAGGGCTCTTAGGCACACAAACCCGGACACCCTTTAAGCCAACAGGCTTCATTTTGAACCAAACAATTGCCTTTAGGTCTGAACTAAGTCAAAAAGAAACACACTGCTTTTTCAAAACTGAAAAGTCAGTTAACTGAACGCACAGATACATTCCAATACAGAATGTTAACAATTCAAATCTGACTGCAGGAGGTTCTTCCACACAAGCTACCTTTTCAAAATATAGCTCAATGATTTTCAAGAAAGGACATTTTTTCCTAAGGAAAAAATAATGTTAAGGCCTAAGGAAACCCACTGGTACACTCACAAAATAGTGCTGATTCCTTTGTGAAGGCAAGTTTTAAAAAAGAAGGACGCCATCCGAAAGAAAAATAATTCACGTCTGCCAAGGTCACCATAAAGTTCACACACCCTATGTGGTTTCCTATCACTTGGACAAGCGTCTCTGATTTATCAAAACCCTATATATAACAGCTGATTAGTATACAGCTCAGAGAAACACTATGTGACCAGCACTGCCTCAGACTTGAGCACTCTGTCCAGCACTACAGAAATAAAGGAACAGAGTATCAACGATCAGTAACAACATGATTTGGGGAAGACAGACAAAGCAGATCTCTACCACTGCTGAGTACCTTGGTTTTTATTTTTAATGTTTTTTAATGTTTATTATTTATTTTTTTAACGTTTATTTATTTTTGAGACAGAGAGAGACAGAGCATGAACGGGGACGGGTCAGAGAGAGAGGGAGACACAGGATCCGAAACAGGCTCCAGGCTCTGAGCTGTCAGCACAGAGCCGGATGCGGGGCTTGAACTCACGGACCGTGAGATCATGACCTGAGCCGAAGTCGGACGCTCCACCGACTGAGCCACCCAGGCGCCCCTAATGTTTATTATTTTTGAGAGAGAGAGAGAGACAGATTGTGAGTGGGGGGAGGGGCAGAGAGAGAGAGGGAGACACAGAATCCAAAGCAGACTCCAGGCTCTCAGCTGTCAGCACAGAGCCCGAAGCAGGGCTCAAACTCACAAACTGTAAGATCATGACCTGAGCCGAAGTCCGACGCTAAACCGACTGAGCCACCCAGGCGCCCCAAGATTTATTTTTTAAGTAATCTCTGCACCCAACCTGGGGCTCGAACTCACAACCCCAAGATCAAGAGCTGCATGCTCCACTGAATGAGCCAGCCAGATGCCCCTGCTGAGGAGTATGTTTTTATTTTCGTATCTGAGACTAGTATTTATTTATTTGCTTTTTTTTTTAAATCTTCATTTATTTTTGAGAGAGAGACAGAGTACGAGTAGGGGAGGGGCAGAGAGAAAGAGGGAGACACGGACTCAGAAACAGGCTCCAGGTTCTGAGCTGTCAGCACAGAGCCTGATGTGGGGATTGAACTCACAAACCAGAGATCCTGACCTGAGCCGAAGTCAGACGCTCAACCACTGAGCCACCCAGGTACCCCTTTATTTGCTTGTTTTTGAGAGTAGTTTTTATATACAGAAAAGACACCGTTTTTTAAATATTAATACTTGATTTATTAATGTTACAAATTCAGAAAGTGTAGATTTTCCTCAAACTTTCATATTCAACTTAGACTTTTCTTTTTAAGATTTTATTTTTTATAATATTTTAAAGTTTATTTATTTTGAAAGAGAGCGAAAGTGTGTGCGTGAGCAGGGGAGGGGCACAGAGAGAATCCCAAGCCGACTCTGCAGGGCCAGCACAGAGCCTGACATGGGGCTCAAACTCATGAAACTGTGAGATCGTGACCTGAGCTGAAATCAAGACTTGGACGTTTAACTGACTAAACCACCCAGGTGCCCTTAAGATTTTATTTTTAGGGGCGCCTGGGTGGCTCAGTCAGTTTAGCTGTCCGACTTCGGCTCAGGTCATGATCTCACGGTTTGTGGGTTCAAGCCCCGCGTCCGGCTCTGTGTTAATAGCTCAGAGCCTGGAGCCTGCTTCAGATTCTGTGTCTCCCTCTCTCTGCCCCTCCTCCGCTTGTGTTCTGTCTCTCTCTCAAAAATGAATAAATGTAAAAACAAAATTTTTTTAAAAATTAAAGAAAAAAAAGATTTTATTTTTAAGTCATCTCTTTACCCAACGTGGGGCTCAAAGTCATGATCGGAGATCAAGAGTCTCATGCTCCTCTGAGTGAGCCAGCCAGGAGTCCCTCAACTTAGACGTTCTATTTGGAGTTCTAATTTTAAAGGGATGTGATGAATGTTTGATCGCCTTTACAACGTTAAACACTCTTCAGACATAAAATTTTAACTACCTTAAATATTTCATACATTCAATTTTAAGTACAGTTGACTTGGGGTAAAAGTAGGGACAGCAAGTTCACAGGTCACGATCTGGAACTGAGGGCATCATGCTTGGCTGATGGCTCAGGAGCCTGGAGCCTGCTTCCGATTCTGTGTTGCCCCCCTCTCTGCCCCTCCCCCGCTCACATGCCTGTCTCTCTGTCCCAAAAATAAACATTGAAAAAAAAATTAAAAAAAAAAAAGATAATTTTCTGAGAACTTAAATCTAAAAATTAAACTTATGAAAATAGTGACTGAGGTATTCTTTTTTTTTTTTTTTTCAACGTTTATTTATTTTTGGGACAGAGAGAGACAGAGCATGAACGGGGGAGGCAAAAGGAAAGAGGGACAGACCGAATAGAGGTTCCATGGTACTGAAAGCCATCAGCCCAGAGCCCGACGCCGGCAATTAACTCAGGATCAGGAGATCGTGCGCGTGGATCATTGAAGTCGGACGCTTAACCACTGGCGCCAAGCACCAGGCTCGTGCGAATTGAGGTATTTTTAAATGTCCATGCACAATATAGCAAAATTTCAGAAAGTTCAGCATAAATCAACTATTCACTCAACTATACATTTAAAATTGGAGAAGCACCTGGTTGGCTCAGTTGGTTAAGCATCCGACTCTTGGTTTTGGCTCAGGTCACGATCTCATGGTTTGTGAGATCAAGCCCCACAATGGGCTCTGTGCTGACAGCACAGAGTCTGCTTGGGATTCTGTTTCTCTCTGCCCCTCCCCTGCTTGCACTCTTTCTCTCTCAAAATAAAATAATAAAAAAAAAAAAATTGGAATCCTAAGACCAATATATTACTCTAAATTCCTAAACATTAACAACACTTAAAAGCATGAAATGTAGGTCACTATTACATCAACTCCTTATCCTAAAAACTAGTAAATGCAAAGGATGAATTTTCAAGTTTTTAACATTTAACATGCCTTTCTGGGAAGAATTATAGTTCATCCCCAGTTAATTAACACAGGAGAGCTGTTCTTTACAGAATATCAGCAAATAAATGTCAGCAGTAATGGAACTAGAAAAAGTACCACCTTGCAGCCCCCCCCCCATGACACAACTGATCACCAATGGTGGATGTTTATATTATTCTAAATTATTATCCATTAGATTACTTCTAATTATAATTGGAAAAAGATGTTCCTATCACTACCTTACCAAATTGACCAAACTTGGCATCACTAATGGTGGACAAATTGAAACTGACATCATGTAGTGTATATAAAGTATACAAAATCACCTAAAAATATACAAATATGGTAAATCTAAATCTAACCAAGCCTGAGAAGTAACTTTCAGTTCACAGAAAATACAGAAGACAAGGACCAAGGACAAGGATACCAGGAAGAAACAATCAGACAAATCCGGAATGTGGGGTATTATATAAGACAACTGACTTCGTCTCTTCAAAAAATCACTGTCATGCAACAAAACAAAACAAAACAAAACAAAACAAAACAAAACGAAAAGGGAGCTACTGGGAATGAAGACACTGAAGAGACCTAAAAAATATAATTTGTGAATCTTGACTGGATCTCAGTTTGAAAAGCACAGCTGGTTTTTCTAACTGATTAGTTTCAGGTGTACAACACGTTGATTCAACTCTATATTACTTGGCACTCACCACAATACATGTGGTCGCTGTATTGTTGACTCTCTTCCCTGGGCTGTACTTTTCATCATTTTGACTTATTATTACCTTATAACTGATACTTTGTCAGGTAAGTACAGCTTACTTTGGGGAAGTTTAGTATATTTAAATGGTAATTTTGTAAAGTATGACAACAGTTATATAGGTGAAAGGCCTTATTTAAAAAAAGTGCATGGTGAAATATTTAGAGATGAAGTATCTGTAACTATTCAACATTGGGGCACCTGGGTGGCCCAGGTGGTTGAGCGTCCAACTTTTGATTTCAGCTCAGGTCACGAGATGGAGCCCCGCATCCGGCTCTCGCTTTCGACACTGAGCCTGCTCAGGATTCTCTCTCTCCTCTCTGCCCCTCCCCCCAACTCACGCTCTCTCTCAACATAAAGAAACTTAAAAACAAAAGAAATATTCAACATTAAGAATTTTAGCTAGATAAAGAAGAAGCAACTACGGCAAAATGTAACAATTGTTAAACTAGGTGGTGGGTATATGGATACTCATTTTTTCAATTTTTTTGGATGTTTGAAATCACTTGTAATATGAAGCTGAAAAAATACCAAATATGCAGATTCCCTACTGAACCCTGAAGAAAGAATGGCAGGACAGTACCACATCATCTGCACATATATTTTATTTTTATTTTTTAATTTTAGAGAGAGAGAAAGCATGGAGCAGGGTAGAGAAGCAGAGGGAGAAAAGAGAGAATCTTAACCCATGACCCTGGGATCATGACCTGAGCCCAAATCAGGAGTCGGATGTTCAAATGACTGAGCCATATATATTTTTAAGTCAGTGTGAGCTTGGGTAGGTGTAGACAAGTCTGGAAGAACACACAAACTCAGTATTGGCTACCTGGAGACAGGAATTGGGTAGGGGCAATAGAGGACTTAATAGGTTTTTACCTTATACATTTAATAATAATAATAATAATAATCAGTTTTGGGTGTCTTTAATAAAATAAAAATAGCCTTGGCTTAAAATCTTCCCATTTGTTTGTTCTTCTTATCATTTTTATGGCCATCCTGGCTTAAAATTTTAAAGCTATCTTTGAAAGCTGATTTCATATTACCCATCAGGTCAGGCT